CCAGTTTCCTCAAAGTGGCACCACTGTCGCGGCAGTGTCTAACCGTGCTGGAGCTGTTTGCAGCGTTTGTGACCAGCCTACAGCTGTTTCCATACTGATGCCAAACCGAAGCCGTTTCCAGCATGTGACCCGGCAGGAGCGGCTCCCTACGTGTGGTATCGCGCCGGAAGTGTGCCATCGTATTTACCAGCAGGAGCAGTTTCTGCCGTGTTTCGGAGCCGTGTCTGTTTCAGAGTTTTTCCGATCCGGAACTGTTTCCTGCGTGTGATCACGAGCTGGAGCTGTTTAGAGTGTGACCGTGAGCCGGAGCTGTTTGCAGAGTGTGACCGCAAACCGGAGCTGTTTACAGAATGTAATCGCGAGCCGGAGCTGTTAACAGAGTGTGGCCGCGAGCCGGAGCTGTTAACAGAGTGTGACCTCGAACCGGAGCTGTTAACAGAGTGTGACCGCGAGCCGGAGCTGTTAACAGAGTGTGACCGCGAACCGGAGCTGTTTGCAGAGTGTGACCGCGAACCAGAGCTGTTTACAGTGTGTGGCCGCGAGCCGGATCTGTTAACAGAGTGTGGCCGCGAGTCGGAGCTGTTAACAGAGTGTGGCCGCGAGCCGGAGCTGTTAACAGAGTGTGACCGCGAACCAGAGCTGTTTACAGTGTGTGACCGCGAGCTGGAGCTGTTTAAGAGTGTGACCGCGAGCCGGAGCTGTTAACAGAGTGTGACCGCGAGCCGGAGCTGTTAACAGAGTGTGACCGCGAGCCGGAGCTGTTTACAGAGTGTGACCGCGAGCCAGTCCATCACGCAGAGATCGGGGCCGGCGCGCCGCCGTCGTATGTGCGGCGCTGCTGCGTTTGCCAGGACTGGTTCAGCAGCACATGCCCCGCGGTGCATGATAAGGCTGCGTGACAGGCGGCTGCTGTCATCACACGCCAGCTGCCACGCGAGAGCTGTCTCGTTAACGATATGTGTTCCATAGGCGGCAATTTTCCGGCATGGTGTTCGGACTGGCGGTTTTCAGAGTGACTTGAAAGGGCCATTGATGGCAGGGATGCCAAACAGAATCAGTATGGAGGAGATTTATTTCGGTTTCACTTCGACCAATTCGTAACTTAAACGTGATCGCGATGTCGCAGACAATAATAAGGCCTTTATCAAACTAGCTGCAGTTGCTGCTTTCAACTGACACATTAGATGAAAACCTGCTGCACTCTTCTAATATGCGGGTAGTGGAGTTGATTCACTTTGGTGCTTATTGGTCTTGAAGTTGCCGCGCGGCTCGTGTATATATATATATATATATATATATATATATATATATATATATATATAACGTATGTATACATGCACGCGTTTATGTGTGCGTGTGTGATCAATGCCGAGGCTAATGCATTGGAGCTTTAAGTTTGCCGGTGATAGCTGACGCACCACCAAAGGTTTGTCTGAATCTTCAAAGGACCATGCAAGAGTCAACACGCCCATCTGGACTTTTTATCTTAGTTCTATGACTGTTTCCAAATTCGGGACTTTTGCATGGCGTGGGCGCTGTCGTGCGCAGCAAAAGTGAGCGGATCCTATTTTTCCGCGCGTTCCGTGTTTCACTCCCCCACCCTCTTTCCCTGGGTTTCCCCGCCGCATTACTCTCTTTGTCATTTCCGCCCTCGCATTCGGCGCCATGATTTGAGCCATGTGTTTGTGAAGTTTTAGCAGTGCGCAGCTGCACAAACCGGAGCGAACGGAGCGACACAATTAGCGTAATTTGCATATGCGCCCCGCTTGATTTATTTCGCCTGCACCTTTGTGCTCCCCTTCAAAATTCCAGTTTTCCCCTAAAAATGCGCGAATGGTTTCGTATGGAAATGAGCACACAGCACATTAAATTCGACGCGACAACATTCATTACGCCGACAGAACCTTTGCTGACGCGTCTGCCACGTGTGTCGTTTGAACGCGTCAAAGGCACCCCACCTTTTCATGTGCCGTATGCAGGACTGGCGCACACGCGCCCCCTGCGACCGTTCTCGGTAATGAAAAATTAACTGCCTTTGCGATAAACACGGCCCTAAATTGTTCGGCTTCTGGCGGAGTCATTGGCTGACCTTGGCCAGGCAGAAATATTTATAATATAACGATGGAGGGCGACTGGTGATCTTCATTGCAAATAACTTTCGTAAATTGTTTGAATGAGTAGTTTTGAGATAGGAGTCCTAGGTACGTAAAGCTTGTTGCTTATGGCTGACCCTGACATCCAAGTGATCTGAACAAGGTTGAAATTTTGACTCAATTTATCATAACATCCGAGACCATTGCGTGGCCTTCTGTGGCAAGTGCGCACTACGCTGGGTGAAATACAACGCCTTAGTCAGAAGTCGAAGCCTCGCAGTGACGCTGTTCGATACCTGCTTTTCTCCGTCTCCGACGGACTTACTGTTTTTTCTTCCTTGTCGAACCGCGACGCTCTGCAGCAATTCTCAAAAGGATGCGTGCGTTGCTTGTGCGTCGATTCACTTGCCAAGGCCGCGTGCGGTTTTGGGTACCTCAGTGTGGGTCAAACTTGCAGGATGTTTGAGTATATACGACACCGCAGGTACTTCAGGTTTGTTTTACATATGTACCGCCTCAGTCGGACTTCCCATCCGCATGTGTCCTCAGCGGTGCGAACGAGTGGTCAACCCCGTTTTACCAATCTTTGGCACTTGGACTGTGGGCGTTGCAGTCGTGTGGAATCTAATATGCCTGGTATCCCCCCCCCCCTCCCCCCCGCTCCCGCTGACTTCAAAGGCCCCATCTTTTTGGTTCTATTAAATGTTACCACGGATTCACCAAGGCAATTTTTGGTTGCATCCCATTTGTTTACTTTATGCCCTGTTGGTACTTTTGGTGTATACTGACGTCTGTTTTGTGGCGTAAATGAACTCCAGAATAACCAATAACTCAATTCAGCTGGTATATGAGATGTTAGTTCATACCTGGTTTCACACATGAACATCTTTGCATCTCTTGCACCTGCACTCGAGTAGACATCTGTCCACGTTTGTTCGGGCGCAGACGGCCGGTCGGCTCGCTCTTTCCAGCCGTTCATGAGGCAGCGTGTGCTCGGTCGGCAGTTCGCAGCGCGTCACTCCTTGCTCGGCCCCACCCCTGGGGCGGCGGGCCACTCGCCGACGCTCCCTGTCGTCTGCGTCGGGGTCGTCGGCCCTTCCCCCAGGCCAGCTGATTAACGCTGCGCCGTTTGTGACACGACTCAGTTTACCCTAAATTTTGAATAATAACAGTTTCCATGGCGACGGGGTGGGGAGTTCAATCAATCGGATGTGCGTGCGCGCATTCAGCGCAAGCGGGCGCGGCTGTGCGTGAGCTCCGGGCAGCGCGGCGCGCCCGGGCAGGCGACGTTTGCGAAATCGATGCTGTCGGCCGGTCGGCGCTGCACTGAAGGCCGGCAGTGCGGACTCGGCTGCAAACTCGCGCGGACTGACGCGAACACGAAACGGGACGCAAGGCGGGGAGCGAATGAGCAAAATGGCAGCCGGCCCTGTGGACGGAAGCCGACTGAGGAGATAAGAGAGGGAATGACGTCACTACATCAGCTCCAGAATGCGTCTCGCACCGACGGCAGAGTTTGCCTCGGGCGTTAGCTGGCAGTTTACTTTGAACCTACCTCACTGATGCCTAACAAACGTTGGTTTTGTGATGCATTTATTGGAGGCTATCGGCTATATACTAAGGCGTGCCTGCCGACATGTAAAAAGGGATAGTTACGCACTGGTAAGGTGGGTGGTTTCAGAGAAAACGACATATTTCAGATAGCTGTTTTTATTTAGCACGAGTCGAATTGTAAATAAGGTATTTTGTACATAATCTAGTATACTTCTGGTTTTATCATGAAATCGTGGTCTTCAACAGTAGAAGTAGGTCTGAGAAGAGGGGCAGCAGAGCGGTAGGTAATGTAGGTGTCCTGGGGGTAAAAGCCGGTCATATCCAGCCCGACATAACTGTAGCATGTACGCACACCTATGCTTGCGTATATAGGATTGCTGGACGAGAAGGCCAGCGATCTAAGTGGGTGTGCGGGCAGATTTTTGGCCCGAGCCGTCTCGGTTTTGTGGATAAGTTTATTGCCGGCTGCACGTGACATGTGGCGCCTTGACGCGGGCGTATACAGGTAACGCGGGTTAGTGTTCGATGCGAACTGCACCTGCGTGCCAGAAACGAGTTTGGTTTTATTTTGTAATTGCTTTTGCATAAAGTGCTTGTTGTGTATGCATCTGATCATGCCTCTGTAGTCTTATTGTAAATAGTAGTTCTAGTCCGCATCAATTTTGTGGTAGACCAAAATCACATGCTTCAAGAGCTGCGCTGTAAGCTATCCAGCGCTTTGTAATGGCTCGTGCCTTGTGTTCAGAGTCGCAGCTTTCGGCGTAGCATTTGAGCCACCGTTCTGTTCCCAACTGGTCGGGTAATGCCCCTGTGTGTAGAGATGCAGGCATAGACCACTACATCGGGCTGTCGGCAACAGCAGTGCAGACGTGACGTTCGTTGAGAATGTGCCGGCGCCGAAAGCGCAGCTGGGCGACGGCACGCACCGTTTCCAGACGGGGACAGTCTGTGTGTGTGTTCGATGTAAGCGTGCCAGTGGCGGGTGTGTACTGTCTAGTCATGTGGTGAAGCTACCTTAATGTGTGTTATCGCGCTATGTTAGATACAATGCTTATGCTACAGTACAGTCTCTCTACGAAGGTTATTCGTCATTCGTTTGTTGTCAGAACTACGCAATTTTGCTGTGTGTAGTGTGCTCTACAAATACAACCGTTGTATGATGATCAGCGTCTGAAAGAGGTCACGGGACGTCACGGAATTAAATGGCTTGAACCACTTAAGATACACATTATCTTGACGGCGCATGCAATCCTTGTATTGGATCTAAGGCCCGAGAAACGACCACGTCTCATGGCTTGGCGCATAGGTGGGAGAAGCTGTCTTCATCCGGCTGCTCGGGGCAGGACTCTGGGGACGCTCGAGTCCGGCAGCAGCCCTGCAGCCCACTCTTGCCACAGGGCGCCATCAAACTCATGGGGCAGGACTCTCCGAGGACGCCCGAGTCCGGCAGCAATCCTGCGGTTCACTCTCGCCACAGGGCGCCATCAAACTCATGGGGCAGGACTCTCCGAGGACGCCCGAGTCCGGCAGCAGCCCGCTCTTGCCATAAGGCCCCGTCAAAGTCATACCTCGAGCTGCTGTATAATCTGGGCCACGCCATCAATATACTAATTAACAGGTATAACGAGCCCGCCGTGTTAGATGCACTGCGCGGCGTTCCAAACCGTACGGTGCCACCAAGCTCGGCTTGTTCCTGCGGGTCGCCGTGGACCGGCGCGCACCACGCCAGCAGAGTCCTCTAGTGGCGGTCATCTGGCGCCACCTGGACCGCCGGGCGGTGTAACCTCAGTAGGAACAGCGGGGCGTGACGCCTGAATAATCACGCCGTTCGGTCCTCAGCACCGGCGGAACCACAAGACAACTCTACCAGGTCAGATGACACTGCACCACACTGCCAGGGTGTCACTGTCACACCAAAGTACAGCAAAATGTCTGATGCGCTTAATAGTTTGGTACTTTTTACTCCAGCAGCGTGCCAGATCGGTAACACGCGGGGTAGGTAAAACGACTCAAATGTCGCGGCTGGGTCATCGGGATGCTGTAGGTCGTCTCGGTTGGGTCAGTAGAATGAGTTGCAGCCGTCGCTGTTGGGTCGGTTGGATAACGGTAAGCTGCTTTTTTCTGGGTCGGTAGGGTGGCTGCTAGCTGTTTTGTCTGGGTCGGTGGGGTGACTGTTGGCTGTTTTGTCTGAGTCGGTAGGGTGGCTGTTAGCTGTTTTGTCTGGGTCGGTAGGGTGACTGTTAGCTGTTTTGTCTGGGTCGGTAGGGTGACTGCTTGCGGTTTTGTCTGGGTCGGTAGGGTGACTGTTTGCGGTTTTGTCTGGGTCGGTAGGGTGGCTGTTAACTGTTTTGTCTGGGTCGGTAGGGTGACATTACTACGTCAAGGCGCGACTGCACGCCACACCAACAGACCACCACGGGTCGCCCCACCGCACCGGGACGCACTCGACTGCGGGCCGCGCGGTCAGTCGAGGATGGGCTCCGGGTGCACCACGCGGCCCATCAGCAGCACCATGGCCGAGTAGTAGTCCCAGACGAGGAACACGAACGGGTGGTCCACCTCGAAGTACTTGTCGGTGAGCGCGCGCCGGCGACCGTCCGTGGGAGACGGCCGGCCGGGCCCCGGCGCCGGCGGGACCCCGCCGGACTCGTCCATCACCACACTGGCCCTGCCGACCCAGGCGGAGCATGGCTCAGTTAATTACTGTGTAACGCCATCACATATGCATCAAATACGCTCGGCTCCCAGTGTTCATTTGCCACAACAGTGTAGTAACAGAGTGACCCAAATGACTCCGAAGTGGGACAGTACGTGCCAGGCCAATTTGGGCCCCTCCTTGGTTGAGCTTAGTCGACTCAGTCACACAAACAAGCTCTTTTCCAACGGACGGCTTAGGAAGTGCAAGCACTCATCGCAAACCCATTATGGCTTTTAGTGCTGGCAGGGAAGTATTCCTACAGCCGTAGAAGTGCATTTCGAAATGGCTGAAGGACGTATCCAAAAGGTTAAATGTTATGCGGCGACATTCGCTAGCACATCATAAAATGAAGCTAACATTGCGCAGTAATGAAGCGTAAAACTGCCATCAGCCGACTTCCTACAATTTCAAATGAAAACAAGAACATTGTTATCGTGACATAGCAAGAAATAACCATAGTATAGGACGTAGAAAAGCTTCCATAGTTGCGCCATTATTCGCGAGCAACGTTAACGTGCGCGGTGGTCCGAAAGAAGGCTAGGAGTCTATCTATAAAGACGAATATATATATATATATATATATATATATATATATATATATATATATGTACATTATACAAGCTAGTTGAGATAGAAAAAGATTGCGACTGTCGGACACGGGGCCTTGTCGGCGTGCAGGCGCGTGCGTGAGTCCGCGGGGCGGGTCTCACGAGAAGAGCAGGTCGCTGAGGTGCACCCGGCCGTCAGCGTTGATGCCGGTCATGGCGGCCGTCCTCGGGTCGAACACGTGCGTCAGGCCCTGCGCCATCAGCACGCGCCGCAGGTGACCAGAGCAGGCCAGCCGGAAGCGTGGCAGCTTCACGTGCACCGTCTCGTCCTGCGGCACGGCCGCTCCGTCAGCTGGAGCCCTGTGTGATGGGGCAGGTCATGGCCGGCCCGGCAGCCACCAGGTCAATGTCAAAGTTCGTTGGTAGCCTGGCCGTGTGTGGCTAGTGAAGACCGCATGTCGCCCAGGGGCTGCTCTGCCGGGTGGACTGGGTGGACAGTCGCTCTCCCCGCTGTCAGACAGCATGAGAGAACCTTCAGCCTTCTGTCTGTACTGAAATACTGGGAAACCCCTCAAAAGACGTGATGGATATGACGAACGTGGTCGGCGCGCGGCGGTACGGCCATGAGCTGTGGTCATGGGTGGCAACGGCATACAGTGACAGAGGATAGGATCCAGTTATTGAAGGATTGGGTGCAGTCGGAAGTAATCGTATTGCGGTAAACTCCTATCATGATTAAGAGAAGGCCTTAATGATATTAGGATTTCAAGTGATTAAAAGCTAAGATAGTGCAGGAGGCCCACAAAAACCGAGAACAGGTAACGACTTAGACTGTAATCAGCTTAGTCATACAGAAAAGTTGGCCGGTTTAAAACCGTTATGCTACAGGAGATCCCCATTTGGATGGATAGAAGACACCATTGATTTCTAAAAGGACGTCATAAGCGACAGAAAGTATCAACCAGGTACTGATCTCATCAGATGGAAAGCCAAGAAGGGGTAGGAGATCGTGTCATGTCCGAGAGAGGGGGCCTGTCCTGTCCTTCAGAGCTCTTCTGCCCTGTCCCTGCCCTCATCGGGGGAGAGGGACAGGGACGTGAGGATCAGTATCTGAGGGATATTGCACGGCAGATCAAACCTAGTACCTAGACTCGCACCTAGTATTTGCAGCCGTCAGCCCTCATTATGCATTCCCTCGTCTTTCCCCTCCCAATCGTCGTCTTATTTTGGCGTTAATAGCCACCAGTGAGAGCAGATGCGTCCGTTAATAGCCACCAGTGAGAGCGGACGCACCGGCACGTAGAACAATGCAAAGTCATGTAGTAGTGTATTACTACAATGCACCGCTGTAATAATGCAATGTATTAATACAGTGCAATGCGATGGTTGGTATTATAGAGTGCGTTGGCCACTTAGAACGCAATACAATGCGATAATGCAAGCGTATGGATAGGACTTTATAAAACTATATGGGTGCTAGTATTGCGCTCAAATTGTAGGCCTTGAGAGATTGGTCCACGTTAGAAAAGATTGAAGCAAGTATCAGATATGATAGAGAAATATGACGGAGAAATATGACAGTTGGAAAAGGCTCACTTGAAACTATAAACATAGTTTCAAGTGCTTAAGATTGCTTTATATAATACAATTTCACTGTTTCAGTACGCGCCTCAATACGTCATTCTTTGATAACGGCACAGAACGCTTTTATGACGTCAGAGTCGCAACCAGACTGGCCGTGTCAGGGCTGACTCACTGGTATTCAACTTACTGCAAGGTAGCTTGTTAATTTGTGCGCGCGTGACAAGCCCGACAATCGATCTGTGCCCAGGTTCTGGCCCTTTCCCATGGTGTCCTTGTATTTTTGTTCGTGATTTTGTGTTGTTTTTTTTACTTGCATTTGCATGCTTGGTTACGGCGCTATCCTTGACGTTATTTAATGCCCAATTTCAGGTCCGTCATAACTACATAGTAAGACTGCTCAATTGCTCGTATTATGTATCATAAAGCTACGCTTCGTGATCGAGACCTGAATTTCACCCGCTTAACTGGCTGAACGCTGACTTACGTTCAGAAATGCAGCGATTCGTGCTGACTTGACGAATGAGCCAATGGTGATATTTTTCTTGACCTTGAATACAGTTTTGCCGTTGAGGATGCGGAATACGTCCGATGTCTCCTTGGCGCAATGAACCTTTGGGTGTCCTCCAAATAGGTGGCGCGAAAAAGTCTGCACAGATTCGCGTGCGCCTAGCTCAGAAAAGAGAGAATTTAAAGCCTTAAAAAGAGCATAACTGAACTGCAGGGAATGATCTCGAAAATGGCTGTCAGTTCAAAACCGCATGCAAATGCGGAACAAACCATTAAGGACGCCTTGGTTGCGTTTCATATTCATTCGCAAAAATTTTACTTACCTTTATTTTGGAGAAGTTACAAACGGCTTTTCATACAAGCAAGTACAACGAACTTTATCATCTTCGACGTTTCTTGGAAGCATTTGTAGGCAAACCCAAAACTGTAATGCATTGAGGGCCACCTTCAACATGGACCTTCCCATTGCGTCGGAGGCTGATCGGCGATGCCCACATCTCTGCCAGTGCCCACCTTCCAAAAAGTTCGTATGGCGAGCTCATTATCGGGGGCTCACAGTGTAACGCGCCTCAAAATCGTAATCATTACGGCACTTTATGCCCGACGGATTGTAACGCACAAGGTGGCCGCTTACCCTTGTAAAGGCTCTCCATGCAGCGGAAGAAGGCGGCGGCGCCCTTGCTGCCGTCCTGCTCTCAGCGCGAGGCGCTGACATTGTACAGCCGTCGTGTCCTCAGCGTGGGGAGCATGGCACGCGAGGCGCCGGCCACCCTCAGCCCTCAGTCCTCATGTCCTCCACCCTCAGCGTGGAGGACATGGCGCGCGAGGCGCCGGCCACCCACAGCAGCCGCCCGCATCCTCAGCGTGGAGAGCATGGCGCGCGAGGTGCCGGCCACCCACAGCAGCCGCCCGTACCTTCAGCGTGGAGAGCATGGCGCGCAGGTTGTCCGTGGTCAGGTTGGTCTCGAGCCGGTGCAGACCGTCTTCCAGCGCGTCTGGCAGGAGGATGAAGATGGAGAGACGACGCTCCTGGAGCGGCAGTTCCAGCACGCGCGCCTCCAGGTCGTGACTGTAGCCGATCGGCAGCCGGAACCGTCCCGTCATCACGGGCACCTCCATCCTGCTGGCGCGGACGAGTCCGGTCACACCCCTCGGTCGCCACGCTGGCAGCTCCTCGCGGCTGCGGCTGTGCACCTGTTACAGACACCGTGAAATGGAGACTTTATTTAGTGCATTGGTTCATCTGCAATGTCCGGCTACGCAGCAGGCGACACGTTTGAACGCTTGACAAGGCCTGACGAACATGATCACGAAAGTGAAATGCGCAATTCCCTCTAGCGTTGGATGTACGGCTCTTGGACAAGCTCTATCGCATCAGGCCCCGGGGTGACTGGAAGCCACCTGAGTGAGCACGCGCGGCTACAGTGGGGTCGTCGTGGGGCCAACAGGCGATGGTACAACCGCTCACCATCACGGCCAGCAGCACCCCGTCATCACGCCCAAAGAACTCGAACACTGTGCCAAACATGCAGCCTGCAAGCACGCCGGAGTAGAAACGCAGCAATGGCTTCAGTTAAAGTTGGGATTGGACGGAGGCAAAGCACTGTAGTGTTGTAGCATTGCATTCTCTAAAATACGTCACTGAAAAATCCGCTTGAAACACTTATGCCTGCTAAATAGCCCGCCTTCTACAGCCAAACCTAGTCCGGGTACTAGCAAGCAGCTGAGGCCCGCAATGAAGAGCAAAGTTTATGCCGATTATGGCAACCCTGTAATATTTAATTGTGCTTACGTTCTGTTCTACACTTGCTTTTTGTAATAACTGGCAACAAACGTGCTCCACTGCCAATTAAGCAGACATTTCACGTTTCAACTGGGAATGGTTCATGCCGTCAAAATTTATCGGCTCTGCATTGCTGAAAACTGACAGTGTAAGGCCAAACGATGACGGTAGCCCCATTGCATTGCTGAAAATGCATGTGCTAAAAAATCCATCATGTGTGTGCGTCTGTTCCTCATGCTCATGATGCTTACCTCACCTTTGAGAGCCTTCGTGGAAGAAAAGACCCTTGTCAAAGGTCATGGAGGCGTTGAACGGCTGCATCCACTGTCCATGGAAGTGGACCTTCGACATCATCAGCAGCACCGGTCGCTCGGGCAGCCGGGCGTCAGCGGGCGTTGGATGGTCTTCGGTGCTGTTCAGTAGCCACTGGCGCAGCCCGAGCCTGACCTCTGGCTCGCCGAAGTCCACCGCGACCACTGTCCGCCGGTAGAACTCGTCCAGCGCGCGCGAGTAGAAGTCTGACACGTTCACGTCGTGCGCCAGCAGCAGCGCCATCTCCTCCAGGAAGCGATCCTTGTAGTAGGGGTGTCGCATCACCTGCGCCGCCTGCTGGAAGGCGCGCTGCACATGGGAGTAGCTGATGTTCTGGAAGTGCAGCACATCGCGTAGCTGCGCCGCCGATGGCGACTCGGCGCCGACGCCCAGGAACAGCATCGACAGCAGTGAGAACACTGAGTACGGCGAGACGAGCAAGTCCTGCTGTCGGCTGGCGGTGTCGTCGGCCAGCGCCGAATAGAGGCTGAGCGTGAAGTCGAAGTGGGCGCGCGACAACTGCTGCAGCAGGTCGGCGCCGGCACCAGGGGTCGCGACGCTGGCCAGCAGGAGGGCGGCGCCCGTCCCAAGCCAGCTGCAGCCGCGCATCCTCACCGCCTGCCGACAGCGGGTCGGTGCTCACACAGACAGTCCTCACCCCTGCCGACGGCGGGTCGGTGCTCATACAGACAATCCTCGCCGCCTGCCGACAGCGGGTCGGTGCTCACACAGACAGTCCTCACCGCCTGCCGACAGCGGGTCGGTGCTCACACAGACAGTCCTCACCGCCTGCCGACAGCGCGTCGGTGCTCACACAGACAGTCCTCACCGCCTGCCGACAGCGGGTCGGTGCTCACACAGGCAGTCCTCACCGCCTGCCGACAGCGGGTCGGTGCTCACACAGGCAGTCCTCACCGCCTGCCGACAGCGGGTCGGTGCTCACACAGGCAGTCCTCACCGCCTGCCGATAGCGGGTCGGTGCTCACACAGGCAGTCCTCACCGCCTGCCGACAGCGGGCCGACATGGTGACGATGGACACTGGACAGCGACACTGACAGGCGTCCACAGACAGCTACGTCGTCCTCAGCACATGGCGACATTGGACGCTGGACAGCGACACTGACAGGCGTCCACAGACAGCTACGTTGTCCTCAGCACAAGGTGACAATGGACACTGGACAGCGACACTGGCAGCCGTCCACACACTTGGCGAATCCTCGCCACTTAATGGTGCTATGCTCCTGATAGGTCGCCTCGAGAAGACGCATGATTGTTTTCATCTGGAGGCATCATAATTCAGCAAGCTTACGTATAGGTGGGGGCTAAATGAGTGTGAAATACATATACACACACACACACACACACACATACACACACACACACACATATATATATATATATATATATATATATATATATATATATATATATATATCATCGCGAGTGACTTAGATATGCAGTCATGCCCAGCTTCAAAAGAGCTCGCTATTTGAAAAAGGAGTTTTGGAAAGATACGAACCACCACGAATAAATCCTATTGCGATCCTCCGCATGCCACTCTGGCCACTCTGGACCCGGTGAACTTCGATCGTTCGCTGCGGGCGGCGCCCTTCCCCACACGCCCGCACCCGGAACCGCCGGCGCCCCTGCCCACCCCTCCCTGTACACCTATCGTAAACAGACTGTCCCCGTCAGCAGACCATTAAATTGGAGGGCTGGGGTCTGCGTGCCCACAGCTGCGGGCGTAACTGTCTGTCGGCCTGAGCGCGGTGCCGCTGCAGCGGGCCGCGAGCGGGCCGGGCCACCGGCGCTGTCCGCTCATGCTGCCGGCGCCGCCCGCTCACACCGCCGGCGCCGCCCGCTCATGCTGCCGGCGCCGCCCGCTCACACCGCCGGCGCCGCCCCGCTCACACCGCCGGCGCCGCCCGCTCACACCGCCGGCGCCGCCCGCTCACGCCGCTGGCGCCGCCCGCTCACACCGCCGGCGCCGCCAGCTCACACCGCCGGCGCCGCCCGCTCACACCGCCGGCGCCGCCCGCTCACGCCGCTGGCGCCGCCCGCTCACGCTGCTGGCGCCGCTCACTCACGCCGTCGGCGCCGTCTGCTCACACCACCCGCTCGGCCAGCAGCCAGAAGCGATCTGGCACGGTGACTCTAATGGCTTCAGCAGCTTCACGCGTCCATGAAGACCGCAGCAGCGCCATCGGCCCTCCCCACCATTGTGATTGCTATTGCAGCCAGGCCGTTGTAGCGGCGCGGTCTCACGGCTTGCCACTGAGCCCAGCCGCGGGCACTGCGAGCGCGCAGCCCTACTTTCAGAAGGCCCTTATATAGAAGGTTGATGTTCAGAAAACCTATTTCCGGAAGGCTTTTTCTCCAGACAGCCTATGTTTTGAAGGTATACTTACAGAACGCCAACTTCCTTAAATTATATTCTTAAGAGACCCTTTTCAACAGGTCCAGTTTGAAAGGGCTTGTTTTTCAGGAACGTCTTCAAAAGACCTCTTCAGAAGGCTTACATTGAGGGATCCATTTTTGGAAAGGTCCTTGGGTCAAAGACATGCATTCATGAGGCCTTTCTCCACAGGGTCTATTTTCACGAAGTATTCATTCAGAAAGCCTACAATCAGAAAACCTAAAAAGCCCAAAAAACTATACCCAAAAGTATGGTCAGAAGATTGTTCAAGTCTCTTGCTGCCAGGCATGTGGTATAAAGGCCTACGTCCAGATACACTGTGTTTACACACAGAGGAAATGCTTTCACTGGGCTTGTGCTCAAGAAGCCTGCTTTCTTGACCCCTCTGATTAGAGGAGACCATCTGCGCAAAGGCTACGAGGTCAGAAGATGGCAGAAGCCGAGGTTTTTCAAGGCATGTACTACCATGTAAGGGCATGGGCGTAGTTTCAGAAGCCTGAGAGGATTAAATGGGGTGCGTCGCACCCGCCCCTCCCACCCCCCCCCCCCCCCCCATCCCTTAGGTGGACGAGTGCGGTGCGCCCCTAGGAAGCCTTCAGAGCATAGGCTTGTACAGGAGGCGTTCTGAACACAAGTCTCATGTGAGCAAGCTTATTAGACACATGGTTTCTGGGAGCGGGCCTTCTTAACACAAGTGCTGTGCAAACAGGCCTTCTGAACGTCGATCTCAGGAAAGTTAGCCTTCTGAACGTAGGTCTCTTGATTACAGGCCTTCGGAACGTAGGCCATCTGTAGGCCCTCATAAGCCTCGTGAAGGTAGGCGTTGTGGAAAAAGGCCTTACGATACGCAATTGAGCATCCAAGCGTATCGATCCCGATTATTTCGTCACGAGTCTAGTCACGCCGACACCAAATAATTACAAGTCTGGTCAAGTCTGTCAAGTCTTAAGCTATGAGGCTTAAGCGCCACCAGCTTGATAGCATGACAAGCAGCCGGCTCCATGGAGGTCTCTAATATAATAAATGACCGTCGATTGAGGTAATATGTTAGAGCCAAAACATGGTTATAGGGTTAGTAACCGATGCCAGCCACAGGTGTGGTCTGACAGATTCCCTGGGTTAGAGAAGTGTTCGTGACTGCCAGTGCGGTGATTTGATAAGAAATCTAAAGTCGCCTAACAAGCCGATCCGCCTAGCGAAATGGCGGATCCGGAATTCCATTGATATCATCGACGTAAGACGCACATCACTTCCATGCAATCATTAGTTTCTCGCCACAACTCCAATGGCGTTTTAACAAGACTAGATGAATCGCAGCGTCTGAGCAGCAGTTCAGTGTTGTTGTTTTTTTTAAAGATTTCCGTTCAATGGCTTCATTCGGCTTCCTCGTCATTTTTGAGACCACAAGGTCATGTTGAGCCCATCGGCGCGGGTGAAGTTCGTCATGCAATGTTGCACGGAAAACGTCCGTGGGCAAGATCAATGACAAATGAGATAACGTAAGTAAAAGGCGCCTTGTACCTGTTGAACCGTTTGCTGATGGACAGATGAAACGGTCCGGATTTTGCCCACGGTACCGGTTTTCTCGAAGTCCCCCTGCACAGCTCAGCATTTATAGCTGAATTAGCCGCCCTGATGAGCCGCTGATAAACTCCCGGCTCATCACTATGGAAGCAACACTTTCCGTTTTATCTGTTTTTACCGACGTGAGTGTTATGTAACGTTTGCAAAACACTGCTTTTCTCAAATGCTTTTTGCAATGAACGGCATGGGCGCAAAGATGAGAGCTTGAATTACGCATATTAGGGAAAACCATATACAAAGATCACTCCACTACTACGCGAATTCAACAAACATCATCACATGGCTTATACAGATACTTTACAACCCCATCCCACAATCAAAACCTTCTAGCAAAGCCTTTTTGACAGAAGGTTTCGGTTGGCGAGGCCATGGCGTCATTCTATGGCTTTTATTCCTCCCTTGTGGTGTTTAGCGCAGTGACTCTCCGAAGAGCACTTCGGCTCTGGAAACATTGTTTACTTGGACGTCCAGTTCGCCGCAAGGTCATGTTATAGAGCGAGCATGTTTCCAGTGACATAGCAAGTCGTGTAGTGACGCACGTGTTCAAGCTTCCAAAAAGGACTTCTCGCTGAATGGCTTCCGTCGCTTGCTGTACAAATCACCAATGTTCTTTTCTTCTGACGTCATTTCTACCCGTGAATATTGCCATAGGTATGCTGGGTACCAATCACTATTACCAAAGGTAATAGGTATGCCCTTCCAACCACACTTAAGGTGAGCCCAAAGGCACACACGCGCAGTCAAGAGGTTTCGCCTTGAACCACATTTGCTCCCTTTTCATCATGAAAAGCTGCTGACAGGAAGTTAAAAATCGGCATCATATATTCTCATTGGGCTCTGCCTCGCCCTTAACTCTGAGGAAACTCCGGCTACCCTCCTGCAAGGTCATGATTGGAAGTACCAGCAGGTAATTTTTATTGGCATTATGCCAACAAAAATGTGGCAGTTAGAAGGGATCATCAGCATCAAATCTAGTTCTCTCGAGACAGATCTCGAGCGGCCTCGAGAAATCTACTCCAGCTACTCTAACACGCGTTGTGTAGAAAACGTTCATACAAGGGATGCGTCTGGCACCCGACCTCCGGTAGACACATCTGGCACCTGACCTCCGGTAGACACATCTGGCACCCGACCTCCCGTAGACACATTTGGCATCCGACCTCCGGTAGACACATCTGGTACCCGACCTCCGGTAGACACATCTGGCACCTAACCTCCGGTAGACATATCTGGCATCCGACCTCCGGTAGACACATCTGGCACCCGACCTCCGGTAGACGCATCTGGCACCCGACTTCCGGTAGACACATCTGGCATCCGACCTCCGGTGGACACATCTGGCACCTGACCTCCGGTAGACGCATCTGGCACCCGACTTCCGGTAGACACATCTGGCACCCGACCTCCGGCGCATGCTCATCGAGGGAAAGAGTCTTCAGATGTGGTCAGTGACGCAGCCAAGCGAGGGACTGGAGGCTCGGGCCCCTCTCTAGGTCCGGATTTTTCGTTTTTCGGCATAGATGGCTTCCGACAGATAGTTGAAAATTTGCTCGACGCGTACTCACTGGGCTCTTGGACCCTCTTGTAAGAAA